GCAGGACGGCAGCGGGGCCAGCAGCAGCTCCTGGGCTCCTCACAGAGCTAATCCACACCCTTACATTGCTCGGACGACTTGCAGAAAGCAATCTTGCAAGAAGTCACTAATGAAGTGAAGGGCGGCAAAAGCTTACACCAATACTTAAAAAAAAAAATTAAAAAAAAAAATCAACAATCACCGCCCCCCCCCCAAAAAACCTCCTTTCCTGTTAGAAACTGTTTATAACAAAGAAATTAATGAAGCAGGTCTACACTGCTGAGCAGAAAGCACTGACCGTTTCTCAGATGTGCACCTCCCACGTAGCCAAGTTAAAGGGCCACAATGCAACTTAACCTATATACTTACAATTCTGCCAAAACACATCTTGGGCTGATCACGCCAGGACTAACTCAGGTGCATCGTACATGGTGTATATGGATGAAGTAAAGAAGTTGCATAAAATTTATTTTTCCACCTTGTTTTACAACATTCCCTTTTAAGTTTTTACACATCTGCAACATATAACTCCACAGAACAATAAATAATTGGCATTCATATTTCTCTTGAATCAAGAGTATTTACATGTTGTTGTAACTAGATGACAGGTACAAAACATCGGCATCACAGTAAATATCATTTTGACACCAGAATCCATTTCTCAATTAAAAATTAAATTAACTTAACATTTATTTTTTAACAATTTTAACAATTAAAAATGTTCTCAAAGGCATATAAGTACACAAGTTGTAGTAGGCAGTAGTAACGGACCATACTGGCAAAGCTGTAGAACCCAGGATTTCATGCAAATCAAAGAGTTTATTAATTATGAAATAACTAATAATAAATAAAAGAGCCCATCCAGCTCACGCTGAAGATTTTAGCAGGCACTGGACTGGCCCCAGCAACTGCGGAGATGAGTCAAACCCCATCCGAACAGTTGTGCGCAAAGAACTTGTGACAGTGAGCTGCATGCAGTAGTAGCTCACACACCTGGTTTAGAGCACGGCTTGTGCAAACCAAGGATTTATGATGCATCAGATGGTGCAGCAGCTTTCTTCAAAAGATAAAGCCAAAAGACAAGCTTTAGGGCTTCACCTATCTAACTCTCTGGGGCTCCCTGACGCAGCTCAACTATAGCAAAATTTTCCTCAGCAGTTGCAGAGGACGAGAGAGGTCATCACAGCGTTTAATTGTGACAGCCGAGGAGACCACAGGAAAACAACGCCTTTGGTGCTGCTCAGTTTCGTCCAGCCACAGCTGTAGCTCTCAGCACACAGTTCTGAACACCGAGGGGACACCAGGGATGTCACTCGCCGCTCCCCAGCCCAGTTCGGATAAGACCCTGCACAGATTTAAGCTGCTGCTGTTGAATACAGAATGTTGCATTTCAATTGCACTATAAGCTGAGCAAAACAAGTGCTTGCAAAGATAAACAGGACAAGCTCTACGGAGGAAACAAATATAGAGTTAAAGAAAAAAAAAATAATGAAGAGGGTTGCGACACACCTGAAATTACGGCAGAGATGCAAGAAGAGAACAGTGCGTGTCACAAACCCTCCACGTCAAGTAACCACCGCAGCAGCACAGCACCGAGCGTTGGCTTCCCTAAAGCAGCCGTGGGAAGCAAGAGCACACTGGGAGACGGACAGCGCTACCCTACAGCATCACGTGGAGCACAGTCCCAAAGCACACAAGTTATATGAACTGCTACAGTACGTAAACCAGAACAAAAAAGGAATAGGAAGAACACTAAGTAAGGCTACAAACAAGATACTGCACAGAAGAAAACAATGCTTCACTCCCAATAAGCACAAATTATGAGCATACTAGAGGAAAATGATTAGATTTCCAGCAGAGAATCCATTTATTCAAATGTACAGTAAGTATGAACATAGGTATTAAACTTCACTTTTAAAAACATCTTTTAAATAACTTAAGAGAAATAGATTGCAGACATAAAGTGCTAAACTTGAAAAATACGACAATCATTCCTCTTTCCTGCTGTTTGTTAGATGGCAGTTTTAATTTTCTGATTGCTTTAAAAAAAATGCAGCGCATACCCAGACAGAAATTACTTCCTGGATTTACAACCTTGCGCAAAAAAAAACTAGCTGCAAAGGAATATAATTCGCACCCCAAAACACAGCTACAGATTACTATCAATTCCACTAAATATGCGTTCCTTATTGAAGTTATGATTCAATAAATACAACCGAAATCACAATTCACTCCCTGTCTTGGTGTAAGCTAGTATTTTGCAAATATGGTCCACTCAGTGTAAACTGTATTGACTTCAGGAAACAGTGAATTCTACCATATATACATCTCAGATATTTACATACAGTAGCATGGCACTGTTATTCTTGCAGGACATTTAACTACTAATACACACTAGATAGCGACAGGGCTTTACAAAGACGTGTACTGTGACGTGTTTGCCAACGGACAAGAGGGACTTGACTTCTCAGTCACAAGAAGTTGCACAAAAGAAATTCTTGATTCTTGACTTTAAATCTACTTAACTCAAATGCTGACTGGGGACTCCAGAACACCTGCATGGCCGACACTACCCCGGAGCTGTAGCAAGTCATGATAAAGACAACATTAAATACCTTTTTGGCAAAGTCGCATAACTCACAAAAGGCTGCTGCCCAACTCCCCCACAAATGGGCTGTTCAGGCACTGCTTTTCCTCTGCGAGACAAATCACTGAGAAGCGTTGGACTTGTAGGGCCTTTCCCAACATGAACATGCGTGTCAAATGGGCAGAAATATATATAATTATTATTATTTTAGGAAAAAAAATTAGAAGATAAGGAAAGAAAGGCAAATTTTCAAAACATTATGAAAAGGTAAATACTAAGAATTATCTTTCCTTAGTCTGTAGGATGTTTCTAAAGTTTATCAAGACTTCAGACAAGAGCCTAATCAGAAGACCGGCACAAAAGACAAAACAGTGTGTTAGATTAAAGAGCGTTTGCTGTTCTTACTCCTGAAGCATTTTGAAACATAATTTTCTAAATCAAAAAAGCTTCCCCCACATGAAGTAACGACAAGGCCATACGAACTTGCACGTTCCACTCGCCCTGATCCACATGCATTATGAAGCACATCCAGTTTTTCCTTATATCTTCTGGAACTTGCTTCCCCTCCTCTTTGATATTTACTCACAGGAACTGAGAGCAAGGAAGGCAGGTCAGGTTATGCAAAACATTCCCCTGAGCAATTACCACACATCGACCACACAAGCCACGGCTATCTTAGATCTGAAAATTCAAGACGTACCACTATGGGTCAACAGAGACTCCAGCTCTTTTAAAACAACGCTCCCATTTTCCACTGATTTTCACACCAGACCTTTTAATGCAGCATTGTGCTGCTTGCGACAGTGGAATGCCTGTAGCAATGGCAACAGAAGCTGGCAGTCCATTAAAGAGGTTCAGCATGGCACAGAGACAACCGGGGAGCTTCTGCTCCTCACACCAGTGCGGCTGCCCTGACCTCGAAGGGCTGCCTTGAGAGAGGAGAAGGGAGCTCAGGCTCTGGGCTCTACCATTCCTGGTTGCTCCGTGCAGCCGACCAACAACGGCACCAAGCACTGCCAGCTCCAACGGTGTTTTTTATGATGTGAGAATGAGACAGCAAGCAACTAATTTAGCACAGACTAAACAGCCATCAGATGAGGATGGCTGCCACTAAAAGCTCATCCATGTTTGATGCACGGACCCAACTGTAAAAGGTTCCCATAACTCTGTCATTCTCCTGAGCAGCCTAAGTATGTGTTGCTCTCCTCATAGTGTTATAGTGTGGGCCAATGCTTATTATAAAAACAGAACTCATTGAGTTTCATTTTTGAAAATTAAAAATCAGTAAGTAAATTTGCTCTGCACACGAGCCTAATGCCTTCGTACAAACCCCACCCCTGCCTCTGCGATTCAAGTTTGGTTTTTAGAGCAAAGCAAGTGCAAGGTTCTCAAAAACTGCCTCTCTGCAGGGAGCGTGTCATGAACAACACCCACCTAGGAGTGCCTCAGCTTATTTGCAGCTCATCTTCGCAGTTTCGCCCTAACAGGAAACAGATTTCGTGTAGCTGTGAGGAGCAGCAGCTCTGTGACCTTTCCTTTGAGTCTCCAAGGATTCAAGACACGTCTGCCACATTGTCTGCAGAACAGTACGAGTCTCTTCTCACGTTGTCGACACATTTCAAGTCTGATCAACTGCAAATTTCTTTTCCAAAGAGGATTTGCTTTAGTTTAGATAATTTTCTCCTATACAAATAAATACAGAGTAAAGCCATTATGTCAACAGCTCCTTTTAACAGGAAGCAGAAAAGCTAAACAAAACTGAATTTCTTCATTTTGGAGTACATTTCTCCGTATTTATCAGCAGCTGGATACCTCCAAAATCACTGGGGTGACCACATTTCAACTGAAGGAAAGTCTCAAACACGCTCAGATTCTCAAGTGTGTGTAGATCCGACATGCTGGAGCCCCATTATGGAAACAGCATGCCATAAATCAGGAATCAGCTGTCACCAGTACAGTGCATCACCTACGTTAAGGGATTTCCAAGATGTAAAAAGAATGTAACTACTTGAATCAAAATGATAAATAATATAAAACAACATAACACAATGCAAGGAACAGCACAAATACTTAAAAAGTAACTTAAATTTGTCAAATGCAAATTCCAAGGTCAGTTAGCAGCTTTCAGATGCTTTTAACCATGCATGAGAAACCCATCATCGTTGCAGTTATGCGCATTTGACCCCAGTTAAGTTGAACAAAAGTGAAAAGAACTGGATGAACTAACAAGTGCCTCCACTCTCAAAAAAATTCCCTTTTATCGTTAGGTTTCTGTTCACGGTAGTTGTGAAGTCTTTTTTCAATAAAGCAGCATGTAAGAGATTACCACATGATCCTTATGCAAATATCGGACGTATTCGTTATAGTAACAACTACATGACTTTGTCTCTCAGCTATGTGCAATATTTGTCTCTGGTGTGCAAGGAGAACAGCCCTAGGATGTGAGCTTCGAATAGCTTGGGGGAGAAAACCTTCGCCTCAGGTACTTCAGGACGTAGAGGGGAAGGCAGCTCACCAGAGTGATGACGGTGACTTTCCACAAGAACGACAAAGTTGCAATGAAGTAAACATCTGTAGAAAGAAAAGAGCACAGAGTCAATAAAGATGGGAAGTATGCTCTGGGAAGAGGTGCAGAAAAGCAATTCAATCTACCAACGCTTCTTAAACAGCCTCACCTTCTCCACATGCAAGTTCAAAGCTCATACGATCCCTGGTTCTTCACTCTTCCCTCCCTTCTGTTCCACAGAAGATACAGCTTTCTGCACAGCACATTTCAGTAAAGCAGCCAACTCCTCACAGGCAAGTGCCCATACACACCCCAGCTGAAACAGGGCTATCCATCTCCTGGCAATACTATACTTCCTTTAAACGGGCTACTTGTCTTCTGACTCTGGAAGTCGCCCTCTGGTACTTTGCTGGTAGTCCAGCAAACACATTTCTTGACTCAGTTATAATACCTCAGAATCATTGCAAAAACAGTTGAAGTATCGTTCAAAATGGAGCTGGTATACCCATATGCAAGAGATACAGATCTAGCCCATTGGGAAGTTATCCTTATATTGTCTTCAGAGTTAGCAAAGAGCTTTATGGAAGAAGTAGTGACATCTTGTGGTTCCCGAACAAACACTGGAACAAACCCTATGGATCTGATATTTGCAACTAGACAGCTACTGGGGGAATCTGGAATTCCTCACCCTTTTTCCTTTAGCCAGGAAAAAGAAGAACACCCCCCCCCCCCAACCAACAACAACAACAACAAAAACCCAACCAAAAAAAACCCCCAACCCCCAAAGAGGAGGGCCCCAATGAAGCAGATAAAATAAGGTAAGTTATAAGAGGCAGCTACTTCACCCAGTTAAAAGATGAAATCTTTCAACTCAACAACAGAAGCTCAAATTTTTAGTCTCAAGTTCAGTTCTCATATGGAAATGAAGACCACCATTATTAATGAGCCGACACGTGGTGAAGCTTTGAAAAGATGAGATTGACTGTGCAGCAGCACACAGTTTACTGACCACCTTTATCCCCTCTAGCATTTTGCTATCTTTTTCCTTTAGCCAGGAAAAAAAAGAACCCCCCCCCCCCCCAACCAACAACAACAACAACAAAAACCCAACCAAAAAAAAACCCCAAACCCACAAGAGGAGGGCCCCAATGAAGCAGATAAAATAAGGTAAGTTATAAGAGGCAGCTACTTCACCCAGTTAAAAGATGAAATCTTTCAACTCAACAACAGAAGCTCAAATTTTTAGTCTCAAGTTCAGTTCTCATATGGAAATGAAGACCACCATTATTAATGAGCCGACACGTGGTGAAGCTTTGAAAAGATGAGATTGACTGTGCAGCAGCACACAGTTTACTGACCACCTTTATCCCCTCTAGCATTTTGCTATGAGAAGGAACCATAAAATGTCTTTCAGGTGCCTTCAAATCAAATAGAGCTTATTCTGGTCAGAACCACTGACACTGTAATTATGTTGGCTTCATCAACAGCCTTTAAACTCGATTTATGTCCTTACAGTCCAGTTACTATGGAGATCATAAACCAACTGATTGGAGAAAAGGCATTTAACCTTACCAATAAACTCATGTAAGAAGACCAGAGAAGCTATGTAGCAGGAAAGGCTAAGCAGCTCAGCCACTATCATGAGCCAGTGCCACGTCTGGATCGTCAACGCCACCATCAGTAACTCGGTGAGAATCAAGGACGTGAAGGAAATAGCAACGATGTGGACAAATTCAGATTCAAAGAGGAGGAGTGCTCCATACATGATGATGCTACCTGCAAGGGAACGGAACATTTGGGTATTTTATTCAAACACCAGTCTAAGCTCTAAAACCCACTGCTAGGTCTTGGAAAGGCTGAAACATAGTCATGTCTTGAGACTGTTTTTCATGAAACCTGATGAATGTAATGACAATGAATCAGTTACTATTTAGGAGACAGAACTGATGAGAAGACAGGGAAAAGTTACAGCAGAGGTGCCCAGACTTTTATAACAGTCTATCATATTCATAGACACATGGAGATAGGAAATTAATACACGCTATTTTGGCAACTGGAGATTTCTAACATCACGAAACTCTATCCTCCCAGAAAAGCAGTTGGTCACTACTCAGAAGCTAAAAGATATCAAATACTTCTAAAACCTACTGCATTGCCTCAGTGCCCAGATGGAAGCAAGGTGTTGAAAAGTTCAGTGGATACTGAATTTTTTGCACTACTTTGGCCAAGATCTCTCCCCTTTACACTTCCCCCTAAAAGGAGTACACATTAAAACACTGTTAATGATGCATTGTTTCGTGCTCCTATTCTGGCTAGCCAGGGAACGCTCACAACACCCCGCACAGCCACCTGCACAAATAACTCATGTTAGCAGCATGAGTAATCCGCACCAACATCCATCACACTAGGCTAGTTTCGGAAGGGAAAACCTGCAAGTGACTAGAGCTCGAGCCACAAAGTTCAAATCCAGCTGCGAACTTTCCAAAATTTAGGACTGCTCAAGTTTTCAGTCAGGCTCATCTCTGCTAGCAACTAGCCCAATTGTTTGGCCTGCTGTTTTCTAGTTATTTAGCACATCAGAAGTGAAGTCACTTTAACCAAATATTGTAACCAGATAGTGGTCTTAGCTCAAGAAGAAATCTTTCCCTCAATGCATCACCCTCTGGCTTTAGCTTTCCACCACTTGTGAGTTTTCTATAAATGCCTTGGCTTTGTTATCATATTTGTACAGCATCAGAAGCCCATTATCCTTGTTGTAGGGTTCTACTGTATTAGACTTCAGAAGATAATGCCAAGGGAGCTTTTATATACTTGGTTTCACTCCCTCCTGAGGATGGTAATATCAATTAAATCAGTAAGAATTAGCTGCTTGTTTTGGCACATTTATTCTGACTCTTGTTGATAAAGAAGTTTTGGAAAACAAGAAATTTTGTCACAGAATCATACTGCCATTTTAGCTTTGTAGCTCCATGTTATTGACATAGTTTCCATGATTCCCTGATTAACACTTATAGAAAGTATTTGAGTTTGAGGTTACTTGATAAAAAGAGACAAACTGAAAGAAAAGACCTTCTTAGACATATAACCCAATTACTACATCCACTTGTGGAAAATAAATGCATTGTAATTAAGGCATTTGCTTAACTGTTTTAGCAGCCTAATTAAAGTGTATGGGATATGACCAAGAACCTGAGCTCTACTCTAGTCCTTCATTACAGATGGCTGTGACGTAACCAGAGCTATGGCCACTTCTAATAGGCAGGGTTTAGATAAAATACACAAAGCTACAGATTCTGTATTTTGCATGCTGACTTAATAACCTGTATAGTCCATAGGTTTAAAAACCTTTTTCAAAAGAAGGGAAGAGTTACAAACTCTACTTTACAGATGGAGCAATTAAAGCACTGAAAGGAACTTGCACAAAATTACAAAGGATGGTCCCAATGGGAAGAGGCACAACTCTTTGAACTTCTACGTCACTGCCTACAACAGGGTTGACCAGTTGCTGCCGATATTTAGTTTTAGATAATTTCTTCCGTTGGTAATGCTGCCAACATTTTCTGAGACAAAAAAAAATTATTTATTAATTATCCCAAGGATGCATTTCTAAATTCACTTTATGCCTTACTTAACTTCCTGCAATACAAAAAATTAGATATTCTGTACTCATTAAAACATCTAAGGGCGCAAGCAGAAGTTGATTTCTTACCTTGATAGATGCTTATTAAGACCCATATTAAAAATGTTTTGTATGATAACGGTCGTCCCTAGGCAGGGGAAAGAAAAAAAGAAAAAAGACAAAGCTCCATTGGATTTTCTTTTATGAACATCCACTTACAGATCAACCCAGCAATTAATAAAAGAGAATTTGAAGGCGATTTGGAAAGAAAACAAAACAAATCAACCAACCCTCAGGTACTGTCTCTTTATTCTCATTTTTCATGATGCACGAAGGAGGCCTGGGACTGCGGAAGCTCACTGCTTGCGCAGTACAGTACAACCTCTTCCTTACTGCACACACGATTAATGCAATGCAAAGATGTCTCATGAGTTTAGTCACTGTACTGTGAAATATAAGATGTGTGTATACACATATATATATGAATATATTAATATTATATTTCTAGACACACAAACACACAAATCACCATCATATTGAAGGCAGATAGGTTTTTAAAAAAAGCACCTCCAGCCAACACAGCTATACCAGTACAAAAAAACCCCTATGTTTAGACCAGGCCTAAGGATGGTTGGAGAATTAGTGGTTTATGACATAAGAGACAACATACAAGTGAAACCAGATGGAGACTTATTCAGGCTGTTGGAAAAACAGGCTTTGCTTCTGAGAGTATCTGTTTAACAGAAATCCTTGAGGGAAAGGATCTGTTGAAGACTCAGTCCACCCTTTCCTTCAATTAAGAAAGATGTTCCCAGTCTGCATACCCCAGTTATTCAAAAAAACTTTCCAGGGGATAAAAAAAAGAAGGAAACTAAGACAAGATTTACCTTCCTGATATTTCTATGGTAAATATCAAATGAAGTTTTCTTTGTCTAAGGAGAAGGACCTGACTTCCATGCTAAAGCTACAAAAATGGCACAGCAACCAAACCTTTAGGTCCCTTTTGATCATCCTCAAGGCAAATTTCTATTCACTAAACTATTTGATAACCCCCTCCCTCCATCAAATTAGCATATCCCTTCCCCCCATCCCTTTTTCTGGCTTCAGGATAGTGCCAAATCCCCGACAATTTCTCTTTCCCCTGTATTTTGGAACAAATTGGTAATATTAAATCCTTAGAATTTCCCACAGAATGGAACTTCTATTTTCCCAGCCGTTTTTAATAAGCTGCATTTCATGTAGCATTCAATAACAAACTGCCAGGAAATCTGGTGGTATCTGTTAATTCAAATTTGCCTTTAAAACAATTTTGCTTGAAAACGCATGATAAACTTCTGTATCTACCGATAATATATTTGACTTTACACATTTAGAGAGCTTCAAATCAAGACAGGGATCTTGCCTTAAACCAAAACAGATAAACAAGAGTCTCCCACACCTTAAGAAGATCTTTGTAGAGCTCTGGATACAACATTGCAACTTCAGATTTAACATCCTTGTCCAGGACTAGAGAAAACACTGGAAACATCGTGTAAATTGTGGAGTACCTGGGAAGAAGGTAGAAGACCAGTAAATTATCTAAGATGTAGATGAGCAAACAGAAATGCTAGTCTTCAGAAAGGAGATATAGTATTCTTGAAGTGCCAAACGACATACATATTATAAAAACTTGCCAATGGAACACAGCAGAGTTTTGCATGTAGGGA